GGCACCACTTGTGCTATTGCCCTTGTGGGTGTTGAGGGCTGGGGAGGATGGGGGGCTGCAGGACTGAGCAGGGCTGGGGGCGGATGTGAGGCTGGCGGGGGAGTGAGAATTTGGTGGGGGACACTGCAGGCCTCGCCTCTCCTTCCTGCACCCAGACAGCAGCTCCCGTCACGGCAACCACAGCCTCTGCTGGCCAGGCTGACAGGTGCCTGTGAGCAGACTGACATTTCTGTGGCTGCTCACCTCTGTGCCTGTGGGGGAGGGTCCCCTCATGTTTACCCTTTCCCCCCACCCCCAGGCCTGCAGACCTGAGCATCCTCCATAGGGGCAGTGAGGGCAGCAGATGGACTTATCTACAGCCCTGACCCTCGGCGTGGTGTCAGGCTGAGGCACTCCCCTTGTGTCCCCACGCTGGCCCCATGGAGCATTGCCGCCCTCCCCCACCCCTGGCTCCCCACATCCCCCTGCTGCAGTAATTTTCACCAGCACCCAGGTGCCTCTTTCCAGATCTCTCTCCTGCAACCTAGGAGTGCTGGCTCCTTGGGGGAAGGGCCCCTAGTTTGTTTACCGCTGTACCCACAGCACCTAGAGCTGTGCTTTGTGCAGAATGGCCACTCGGTCAGTATTTGTTGGATGGACATAAAAGTTGTCCATTTAGAAAAACAAGAACTGCCCCTGGCTCCACCTTTGGACCCCAACCTGGTTATATCACATGGATGTCTATAGGGCACAGCCGGCGTGTTCTTCAGGGGCTGAGCACCCACTGCCCCTTAATTGGGTGTCCCCTACTTGGGGAGCCAAGAGCTGACCCCACTGCAATGTGGTGTATGGCAGGGCTGGAAAGTTGCTCAGTGGGGTGGCCTCAGGCCTGATGGTCCAAGAGGCCCACAGAAGACCCTCAGGGAAGCTTCAGGATGTGGGGCTGAGTCGGGTCTGCGACCTGGGATTGGTGCTGCCCCTCAAGTACCTGGGCCCCATCTCGCCTACCGTACAGAAATGACCACCCACTCTGTGGGATCTAGAAGCTGTGCGTAGGTGGCTTGAGCTGGAGCTCAGGGTGGACGTATCTCCCAGAACCACCCTGGCCGGTGGGCCCAGGCGGGTTTGCTATGTGGTTCTGACACTCAGGCCTCAACCCCTCCCAAGGCCTGGAGGGTCAGGTGTGATGTAAAACTTGGTAAAGGTGTGTAACCACAGTGGTTCAGACTCCTGTCTCCTTCCAGTGTGCTTGTGTGTCAGGTGGCCTCAGGCTGACAGGCTGGCTAAGAGGAAGTTGGGCTGGGGATACATTTAGTTGGTTAGTGGGTCTACTTATGAGTGTGCAGTGGCTTCAAGATCTATGGGTGGGTCTACTTATGAGTGTGCAGTGGCTTCAAGATCTATGAAGATTTTGCTATGTATCTGGGAGAGGGATGGTGCCCTGAGGGTGAATGGTAGCCCCCAAAATTCATGTCCACCCAGGACCTGTGAATGGAACCTTATTTGGAGACAGGGTCTTTGCAGATGTAGTCAAGTTAAAAGGAGACAATCCTGAATGGCCTTAATCCCATTATGACTGGTGTCCTTATAAGAAGAGAGAAATTTGGATACAGGGTGAAGGCCATGTGGTAATGATCATGGAGAGGCAGCAGTGAGAGGTGGCTTGAAGCGAGATCTTAGTTCCGTGCCCAGGAATTGAACCTGGGTAACCTGTATGAAAACCCTAGCCACTATACCACCAGGGGCTAGAGGCTGAGAAGCAAAACTCCCTCGGCCCTTGCCCCCATTGAGAAAATGCATTTCTCAAGGAGTCAAAAACTATAAAAACAGGTACAAAGTTTACTATTAAAGACAGTACAACAAGTGGGAGAGCACCCAGAGAAGCAGTTTGTTTAGTTAAGACAGAAGCAAGGCAGAGATACACACCCGGAGAAAAAGGGTGTGCACGTCCCCCCTAATGAAGGGAGCACAGTAAAGAGGCGGTTAAATCATTCATACAGGGCAGTTCTTCCCGGGCTTTGTTTACCTTTGACCAATCATCTGGTTGCCTTTTCCACACCTGATACCCTAGGATCCTCCCCAACATACGTGTGCAACATTTTTCCAAGATGTTTTCCAGCCCAGAGGCCTATGGGGGGCCTTGGCATCACCTATTCTGGGGTGCTGCCCCCTTCTTTTTGACCCCCAAGGAGCCTTTCTGCGCATATGCAATGTCTCCCTTGCCCCAAAGATGGGAAATATATGACCTCTTGATCTTTTACTTAAAACAGGGTTTAGCCCCTCTCTGTTCCTGCCGTGACTTTTATCTTAAACTGTCGTGGCTACTTACCCTGTTTCTGCTGTTACTTCTTTTTTTTTTTTTTGCGGTACGAGGGCCTCTCACTGTTGTGGCCTCTTCTGTTGCAGAGCACAGGCTCCAGACACGCAGGCTCAGCAGCCACGGCTCACGGGCCCAGCCGCTCCGTGGCACGTGGGATCCTCCCGGACCGGGGCACGAACCCGTGTCCCCTGCATCGGCAGGCGGACTCTCAACCACTGCGCCACCAGGGAAGCCCTGCCCCCATTTTTTATTTTTATTTTTTGTCTGTGCCATGCGGCTTGCAGGATCCTAGTTCCCTGACCAGCGATCGAGCCCGGGCCCTCGGCAGTGAAAGCACCAAGTCCTAACCACTGGACCACTTCCCTGCCCCCATTTTACACTGAGGAAATCGAGGCCCAAGAGGCTCAGACCCAGACACAGACATGTGAGAACCAGGACTCAGGCCACACTCAGGGTTCTCTGTCACAATGGAAACAAATGCCAGTGTGCTTACATGTATGTAACATGCCCAGCATGCAGTGGTGCTCAATGTGGGGCAGGGGGCACATGGAGGAGGGACCCAGCCCTGCCCTTCGTGTCATCACAGTCCTGGCAAAGGACAGAGAAGCAGATGATTCAGGGGTGATCATGCGAGGGGAGGACGGTAGGGAGCACAGCCCCGAGCACGGATCACAAGGACGGGAGGACCGAGGGGGCACAGCCTCTGGTCGCTGGGGTGGAGTCGGGTGGAGAGATGCCTCCGATGACAAGGGCCTCTGGAGGCGGGCCGATGGCGCTGTCTGCTTCCGTCTCAGCTGGTGGGAAGAGGGCAGAGCTACGGTGACACCTGAGGGTCGGGGTGACAGCTGAGGGTCGGGGCAGTGGGAAGGGTGGCCAGTGTGACTGGGAAACCACAGAGCCTAGCCCTTGAAGACAGCGTGGATCCCACTCCTCTAATTTACAGATGGGGAAACTGAGGCCCAGAGAGGCAGGACTTGCCCAAGGCCACAAGAGTGGAGATCAGAAGTCAGCAGGCAACAGGTGGACACCTGCTGTATACTTGGCTCTGTAGGTGGCCTGCCTTTCCTCAGGGCCCTGGGAGGTGGGGGGTACAGGGGCACTGTGTTCCTTGCCTTTGCCCCTGGTACCCGTTTGGGTCCCAGCTGCAGGTCCTGGTACCCTCCACAAGAACAGGTGAGATCACGTCCTGAGCTGCCCAACGCAAGCCCAGGGTGTCCCAGTGACTCCCTGCCCCGGTGACACACACCTCACAGCAACAGAACCAGTGTCAACACCCCATTTGTTCTTCCATTATGTCATCTGTGTAGACATAAACGTTTAAACAACTACATACACCCATCTGTGCTTTATAAATGTGGGCTCATACACACACTCTGCACCAGCTTGTATCGTTATGGCATCTTGCAAAGGTCCTAGCATGGTGTTTCAGATTCTTCATGGTGCCCTTTTTTGGTTTGTTTTTTTTCGGTTCGCGGGCCTCTCACTGCCATGGCCTCTCCCATTGCGAAGCAACAGGCTCTGAACGTGCAGGCTCAGCAGCCATGGCTCACGGGCCCAGCCGCTCCGCGGCATGTGGGATCTTCCCGGACCAGGGCACAAACCCGTGTCCCCTGCATCGGCAGGCAGACTCTCAACCACTGTGCCACCAGGGAAGCCCCCCCCCATGGTGCCCTTTTAATGCCTGCTGCATGTGCAAACCATAATCGATATAGCGGTTCTCTTATTTGGACATTTAGGTAATTTCTCAGTTGTTGATTTTTGTATTGAAAGCAACACTGCCATGGATATCACTGCAATCTTGTTTCTATGCCCAAAGATCATTTCCCAAAGATATAATTCCAGCTAAAACGAACATCATTCGCTAATGACACTTTAATCTTTGCAAACCCCGTGGATGAAGGGTTATCTCATCTCAGTTGGTGGGCAGCATGGTCTGCTGTTTCTTGGCCCTGAGTCCAGGAGGACACAGCCACGGTTCACATCCACTCTGGGCACGCCTGTTTCCCCAAGGTCGGTTCCCCAAGGTCCCATCGCACCCCAACATGAGCACACACCAGGAGTGGCCCTCTATTAAGACCCCCAGACCACTGCTGCTAGCTCCCCTTCCTCCATCCCCACGTCACCCCATGGTGGAAGCTAGTGAGGCCAGGAGGACTCTGGTTGATTTGCCCCTCCTCCAGCCTGAACAGGGGCTGGAGTGAGTGTGTGTCCCCTTGCCCCTCCCTCCTTCCTGAAAGTCTCACACATAGTCCCTTAGGCTGTCAAAGTCCTTGGAGACTCTAGGGAGGGTGTCAGGCAAGCCTCCCCTCCTTGACTCTAAGCTGGCTGAGAAATAGACACTGGAGTTGGAAAGGGGAGAAGAGAAGCCCTTTATTTCTGGCAAGGCTGGGCTGGGGTCAGCGCTCAGTCCCCAGCCTCCCCAGCACCCCCAGCTGCCCGCTGCTCCAGGCCCAAGTCCCTCCTTCAGAGCAGCCTCTTCTGCCATGGAAGGGTCAGGGCAGCAGGATGACAGAAAAGCTTCCCTCCCGGTGGCTCCAAGGTGCCAGGAGCAGCCTCAAGGGTGGGAGGCAGGCAAGGAGGGCTGCCTGGAGGAGGCAGCAGGAGGCTGACTGCTGTGGGGAGCTGCCTGTGTGTCCACGCTGGGTTGGATGGTCTGCCCAGAGCTCTTCTAGACAGAGGGAGGCCTGGGGTCCTGCCAGGCTCACTGGTACTGGTTGGGAATGGACATGGTGTTACAGCGGCTGTGGGACATGTCCTCGTAGATCACGTTCTTATCCCTCGCATAGCAAAGTTTCTGGATCTGAAAGAAAGCCTGTCATCTACCACCAGGGGCAGTTCGCTCAGGGGCACCCTCTATCTTCAAGGCACCTCCCTTCAGGAAGCTTTTAGATTTGGGGGACTGCATGAACCATTTTTAGGAGGGTCCTCGGCCAGACCCCCAGTTCTCCAGAGCTTCCCAGGCCTGGGCAAGGGTGGGCTAGGCAGGGCCATTGGGCAGCGGCAGAGAGGTGGAGGTGGAAGTGACCTTGCTCCCTGGCCCTGGACAGGGAGGGGTCTGGCTGTTGCAGGGGACATGGAGTTGGAGGCGCTAGGTGAAGGTAGGGGCAAAAGCTGATGGACCAGGGACAAGTTGACCACTTCCTGGGCCCTGTCTCTGTTGCCCCCTCCCCTCCTGCCTCCAGCTCATGATCGCACATGGATTTCACACACCCACAGGCCTGGCACTCGCATATGCACACCCATGCACACGTGCGCACACGCGTGCACACTCTCACAGTCACGCGCGGCATCCCCATGCTCTCCGAGAGGGTCTCTCTGGACCCTCCTCTCGCTCCCCCGTAAACGTCTGACCAGGATGTGTCTTCCTGGCCCCACACCCGTCCTTGCTGGGGGCTCCAGTTCTTGGGTTTCCTCCCATCTTGGACCTTGCTGTCCAAACCCTCTGAGCTCCAGGAGACCCTGACGGAGGGAGTGGGTGGGTGCTGAGGTTTCCCATGTGGCCAACTCCCTGGGGCTTAACCACTCTCCTTCCCTCCCTGCTCTCTGAGAGAAGCGGGCTTATAGGGGCACAGGTGACATCTGAGGGTCCACACTGACCTGTGTCCTTCTCAGCACAAACACTGCTCCTAGCCCCAGTCCGACGAGGAAGAAGCCCACAGCCAGGGCCGTGGGGAGGGCAAAGTGTATCAGCTGAGTCTCCTGGCACGTGTTCACTGTTTGGGGCAGCTTTTCTGGGAAGAAGGAACAGAGACAGGCATTTGGCAGGTGAGGGAGTCCACGAGAGCCTCTGGGGTTCAGGGCAAGGGCGGGGCTCTGGAGTGTGTGTGCATGTGGGAATCCAGGTGGCTTCCTGGAGGAGGTGGGCTCATGGTAACTCAAGCAAGGGTAGAGGGAAGATCCTCAGACAGGGGCAGATGGAGCCTGGGCTGGCCAGCAGGCAGGTGGAGTGGTCCCTGGGGTGGCACACTCCTTACCTGTCACCACGACCAACGTCCCGGGGCCCCAGACCTCGTTATCCATGATGGCCTGGCAGGCATAGTCACCGGTGTCGGCCAGCTGCAGGTGGTGCATGCTGATGGTCAGGTTGTAATGCAGCCCTGAGAAGGTGACGCGGCCCTGGAACCGCTGGTCCACGGTGGGCTCCCTCCCGTTTTCATAGTAAATCACGTTGCTGCATTTCGGCCACCTTTGCTTCAGGTAGATGCCAAGCAGGGGCCCCCGGCTGGAGCAGGTGATGTTGACAGAGTCCCCCTTTAAAGCGATCGTGTAGGTAGGGGACTGCCACACTTCTGCAAGGAGGACCTGCCACTGTCACCACCAGCCTGGCCAGAGGGGCAGGTACCCACCTCTCTGCCGGGGATGGTGGCAGGGCAGAGGTGCCCTGGGTCAGCCCACTGGGTTTTTTCTGTTTTTATTTCATTTTGTTTTTGTTTTTTAATTTAAAGAAGGCTTTAATTTCTTTCTTTTTTTTTTTTGGCCACAGCGCATGGCATACAGAATCTTAGTTCCTTGACCAGGGATCGAACCCCTGCCCCCTGCAGTGGAAGCGTGGATTATTAATCACTGGACCACCAAGGAAGTCCTGGACAGCCGGCTGTTGTCAAGGATGAGGCAACTTTCGGAAGCCTTGAAGCAGCTCATGGCACCAGCACCCTGGGCTATACTCAAGTTCCAAAGGGTCCCCAGGGGGCTGGGCAGCCTGTGACCTCTCCCCACCCTGAGGGTCCGGGGAAGTCGGAGCTGGGGCCTCTTCCTTCCAAAGTGGCAGGCCGTCCGCTGAGACCTCCAACCACTCTCCCAGGCTCTACACCTCCTCCCTCTCTTAAATGACAGTTCCCGAGAGAGCTGGGGGCACTGTCCTGTCTCCCTGTCTCTTTCCAATGCCTACTGCCTCAGTTTCTCCACCATTTCCAGGCACCTGAAGCCAGTGGCTCCATGGGGTGGGCATATCCTGGCTTGTCTGTGGGACACCCAGAAAGTTCCCTCATCTGCCCAGCAAGCCCCAGCAGGACCCACTTCTAGGTGCAAACATAATCCAAATGCCAGCTCTCCACAAACTAAATTCTGCAGCTGTTTTTGGGAGAGAGAACACAAGAATTTCACCTGCCAGGTCCCCCATCCCACCTTGCGGAACTAATTTCTCCTTCTTACTGCAGAACTTCACACAAAAGGTAAACCGAAGGACAATGTTCTCTCAGGACAAAGGCAGCCTTGCTGGTTGTAGGAGAGAAAGTCCCCAGACATTCAGGTAAAAAGAAAGAAGAGATTCACCATAGTGATTCTACACCCAGATATCAGCATCTTGGTGCCCATTGTTTTTTGTCTAAGTGTCCAAAGCTGGACCTTACCCTCTGGAGGGGCTACCAAGGCTTCAAGGGAAGGTCACACTCAGCATCCCTGGGAAGGGGGAGCACCCCCTTCCCAGAAGGAGAGTCCGGGGCGGGGAGGGGAGGGCTGCAAGGGTGGCTGGGTGGGAGCGCTGAGCCCGCTGATGGGTGCGGTGGGGGACGGGGGGGATGGATGGTTGGGAAGTGCTTACCTTGGGCAGCCAGGTTGCAGGGGAGCACGAGGAGCACGGAGAGCAGCTGGAGCCCCAGGAGCCCAGCCATGCTCACTGCAGTGGGGGAAGAACAGGGCCCCGCTTACAGGGCTGTCGAGACTTCCTGTCTGCAGCACCCAACTGTGTGCCACCACCTCACAGACTGCCACTTCCAGGGGCAGTCGGGGCAGGATGGAGCAGGAGGTAGGCAGGGGGACAGCACACAGTGACTGTAGGTTGGGCACCCCAGGAGGGCTTCCTGGAGGCGGTGCCATGAGTGAGGGGAGGCGCTCTGGGTGAGGCTGGGAGGGGCGGCCCTCATCCCCCCGCCTCTAAACTGCTGAGTGCCCCCAGGTAGACCCATGGTCCTGGTCCTCTGCCCCTGCTTCACAACAGGGACAGGAGAAAGGAGGGTGAGGCAGGGTCAGGCCCAGGAGAAAGATAAGGGGGTCCCCACGTGGGGACCTGATTTATGCCCAGAAACTTGGAGTATTATGTCAGTCATACCCGCAGCGTGGAGGCTTGGTGTGGCTGTAGGGACCGGGCCAGGGCATGTGCCCAAGGCTACGGCTGCCCTGGTGGCTTGCGATTCTGCTTCCTGTGGGTGCAGGGGCTGGGGGCATCTCAGCTGGACTAGCATCCTATGTTGGTGCACCAGGCCCTGGTGATCAGCCCCCAGGGCAGAGACCCATGCCTGGCCCCTGACCCCGAGGACACGGAGGCAGACTCTAGGCAACCAGGAGGTCATTTTTCTGTGGGCCACAGGCCAGATGGTCAAGTCTCAAGTGTTGGGCCCAAAGCCACATGTGCATGTACACAGGTGTGTGTGCATGGCTCACATGTGGTCTGACAGCCTTAAGCTGTTTCCTCCCTGGAAGCCCCCTCCACTGGCCAGATGCTCCTGTCTGTTGATGGCTCAGGGTCCTGAGTGGGGTTTGGGGGTGGGGGCAGATTAAGTCTACTGGGCTGACCCACAGACTCTCCTTGCACGAGGGGTATCTATTTCGGGGGCAGAATCTTGCCAAAGGCCCCTAGGAACCTAGCAGGTTGTTTGCAGGAGGTCATGAAAGCAAAGGGCTTGGCAAAACAAGACCCTTCCTAATCTCATTCTGCCTTTGTTCATCACCACCACTCACTGGGCACCCGTACGTGCCAGTGCCTGCCAAGAGCAGAGGGCAAAATGGACAAGAGGCCTGTGGCCTGGAGCTGACCTCCAGGGATGGACAAGCAGACCTGCAGCAGGACACACAACCTGTGTCGGGAGAGGGGGCCAAACCTCAAGGGGCCATAGGAGTAAAGGACTGAGGAGATGAGGGAGGGTCATGTGGTGCCTGGGAACAGCATTCCAAGCAGAAGGAGCAGTAGGTGCATGATCCCTGAGGCCAGAAAGTGCCTGGTGTGTCTGAGGGTCTGCAAGAGGGCCAGTGTGGCTACAGAGAGGGAGGGGGAATCAGGAGGAAGGGCTTCTAGGGCATTGCAAGGACTCAGAACTAAACTTCCTTTAGAGAAATCCTTGAAAATACAGACAAGCAACAAGTAGAAAATGAAAATTAGTCAAAGACCCAGATGCAGTATTTCTTTCTAGGTTTCCTGCCTTGGGTGTGCAGGGGCTGAATGACTTACTTACGTGAGCGCTTCCCACCATAATACCAATGTTAAAATAACCTTTGAATTACTTCAAATGCATCAACACTTTTTGTCTGTTTCAGGCAAAACGGAACAGATTTCCATGGCCCCCAAAGCATGGAGGTCCCAGGTGCCATGCACACTGTGTCCCATGGGCTTGGCCCTGTGGTGGCACAAACCCAGTATTTCTCATGTGAACCTTACTTTAACCTGAGAGATGCAAATGCAGCCCATTCTAGACCTGGACTCTGGGTGCCAGCAAAGCTGCTCTGGGGTCATCATCCTCCTGTGAGGCCACGGTCGTCAGGCACTGCGCAGGGTCTCCAGTTTTGGATTCTTCATGGTGAGTGAGGACTCCCAGATGTCTGGTCTTTTGGATGCCTTGGGACTTTTTAGTTTTTAAGACTCAAAGCAGCTTGTTTCAGATTTTTATTTTCTCCACTTAAAAATGTGTTTCTCAGCTCATTTGATGGTTTGCTATTTGGTTTAGTTTATTCATCTTGAGGGTCAGCAATACGGATGTTTTGCAAAACACTGAATGCAATACTTCTAGAAAAACCTTCTTTTATCACCTTATATGTACCTTTTAAGAATACACTAAACGCACCACCAAACTAGCTCTACAACAAATACTAAAGGAACTTCTCTAGGCGGAAAAGAAAAAGCCACAACTAGAAATAAGAAAATTATGAAACGGGAAAGCTCACCAGTGAAGGCAAACACACAGTAAAGGTAGCAAATCATCCACACACAAATATGATATCAAAACCAGTAATCATGAGAGGAGGAGAGAACAAATGGAGGGTATTTGAAATGCATTTGAAATTAAGAGATCAGCAACTTAAAACAATTATGCATATGCATAGACTGCTATATCAAAACCTCATGGTAACCACAAGCCAAAAATCTATAATAGATATACACACAAAAAAGAAAGAGGAATTCAAACACAACACTAAAGACAGTCATCAAATCATGAGAAGAGAACGAAAGAGGAAAGGAAGAAAAAAGACCTACCCCTCCCCG